GCATGTAGTAAAGAGATGTCTGTAAACTTGTTTTTGTATAAAAATCCAACGAATTTGTTAATAGTGACAGTACTATTCGTTTATCACAATCCATCCTACAACCCTTTGGAGAGGGAACATCCTACCTCTTTCCAAGCTCTGACGACCACTTGAATGATCAAATTTCAGCGATTGCTTCACTGTGTCCGTTTCCTGAAAGGCTTTTTTATTGCGCTATAGCTGCAGAAATGGAATTGAGTTTTACACTCGGCAAACTTATCATTTAACAGAGCTTTCCATTAGTCTTTTACTATCACTCCATAGCTTTAATCTTTACAATTAGAATGCTGCGTTCATTTCCTGGAATGGTCTTTTTAATGCACTGTAGCAGCGAAGACAAAGTGGAGCTTCACATTCGGCGCGCAGTTTTTCCTCTGCTAGAAGAGCGTGTTGAGGGAGATAAGTTTGGTTCCCAAAAATTCACAGAGCGGTTGCAAGTGGGGAAAGAAATTTGCGTCTTGCACTCTTAAACCTAGGCTGTTTAGGCTTAAGCTCAGTAGCAGGTTTATTTAACAGTATGAAATCAAAATAGAAACCTCAGCCCACACAAAGATAGCACAAAGTTTCCTCTATGATTCTAACGTGAAAAGCCTATAAATTATTGTGAAACGGAAAAAAGAGTTCCAAATAATTAGAGCAGTGACGCGCGATAATGCGCTTTGAGTGTGAGCCTCAATTTTATTTTCGTTTTACAGCTTGACGAGAAGATCTTTTCACTTACCATATAGAGTATTGGATTTTCGAAACTGAAGCATTTATACGGTTGCTAGTCGCTAGATCACTAATCAGAAAAAGCAGGAAAAACTTTGTCAATAAATGGCGGATAATGGATTGCGATAATCGAATTTACCATATTGATCGCCTATTTATCATTTCCTTTTTCTGCCTAAATTTTAGCTCATCTTCATAACTTTAACAGAACGACCTTGAATACCTGAGGGAAGAGATTTTTGATGAACTCGGCATGCACAACAATCGGTTCATATCAGAAACTGTTGCTACCGAGAAAAAAGATTTGAAAGCAAAGAAGAAATCGGTCATGACTACTCACCGGTATTTTTTCTATCATCATTTATACTCTTCCTAGTAATATCGATGATGTAATGACCTTAAGATCATCGACGAGCACAGGAAGCAGATCAGATACCCCTATGTCTTCTGGGTCATCTCTTTCGGAAATGAAATCTGATAGCGACAGGTTGGTCCATTCGTGAAACCATTTTAAGAGGTGCTGTATAAATGATCGTAGGACTTTCTCAAAGATTTGTAATCATCGTTTGATGTTACCTTCGTTGCTAACTGAGGCCTCACATTGACATTGACGTTGTCTCTACTACAGACAGCCTTATTGGATCTTCAATAATAGTTACCATCTACATACGTTCAAACCTCATTTACCGGCCAAGAATACTAAATTTTATTAAAAAAGTATCACTTCATCATTGGAGTGCGCCACCAGTCGCTCACCGGAGCCATCTGGACCGTCAGCAGCCAAAAATGATTGAGGTCCACAAAGGGTTAAGAACTCCCTTCTTGTAATCCGTTCATTTGTTTATCGGTCATTCCATAATTGCTGTTATTGTAGAACTTTCCGCAATACTTTCTTTTCCAGAAAACACTGTGTGAATCAAACACAATTTCAGCCATCTGTGCAATATTTGACAAAGTTGAAACCATGCTTCTTTCTGAAAGGATTAATCATTATCGTGTATTAGTGGGACATCTTAGAGCGACTGAAAAATAGCAAACTCTTTTTTTTTTCGTTTTTTTCACGCCAATGTTTCAAGATTTTCCACTCATTATTGAAGAATAGTTATAGTAAACGTGAAAGTGGATCAAGGGAAGAACTGGAATCGCAATCAGAATCGGAAGAAAAATCGGATACCACTTCGCAGCTCTCCGAGATCAGCAGCGAGAGCAATAGCAAATAGGAATTTTGCAAGATAACATTTCTAAGTTTAGTTTTCACTGTAGTAATCCTCTTTACTCTTTTGTTACTCCTTCACATGTTCAAGATTTATTTAAATCAAATATACTGCCATCAGTATCATAATTGACTGCTGCAAATATACAACACGTTTCGTTCAAGCGATTACTTCTTGTTTTTTTTTTTTGAAAAATTCTTTGTCATGATTACAATGCTTCTTCAAATAATGACATCTACAGTACTTTCCCCCTACCCGCACTCATACTTAACAGAAACCTATTTTTATTCTTTTTTGATGTTTTAGTAATCATTCGACAGATTGAATCTCGAGAATTGAAACGGTGTATTTTATTTATTTAGATGGTTTCTTCATTGTAGTGTTACAGTGAAAATAAAAGTTTGTTCCACACTCAGGCATCTTTTGCTGAACACAGCTTTCCAATCAGAATTTTAATAACCATTCGATCAGTGCCGTGTCGATCAGTCAACAAATTTACATGTGGCTTGTGATGTGCGCCGATTGCAAACACTAAAATTCTTTTAGCCGCGGCAACACACTAGAAATTTCTTCTTGAGACTAAGCATATCAATGAATTCGTTCAGATTTGCGATATCAAGTGCTAATTGAAAGTTTAAGGAAAAGGCTGTTTGCACGAAAAGCACTTAATGTGCAACATAATGTTATTCTCACTGCTACATCGCGCTAAGAGATTTCTTTTCAAAAAGCAGGCACACCATTGGAATTCTCGGGATTTAATGCTATTACTGTTCATTGAAAGGCAATGGCTTGTTGTTAATTTTTGAAATCCGTCCACATATCTGTGGAAGGTATGCGCGCCACATGTGACATGCAGTATTAATTTTGATATTGCAGCGCAATGACAAGTTTTTTTGGTAAACCAAAGCAGTATCAACTTTGTTGAAATATATGGCATCGAATGGTGACTAATTTTTCTTAGAAAAACCTTTGATCAGCGAAAAAGCTCAAGTGTGGAATAAAATTTTACTTTTGCTATTGCTGCGCAGTATAGAATTCATTTGAGAAATAAAATAACCGTTCGAATTCTCAATATGTAAGCTATTGAATAATTTCTAAAATCTCTGAGGAGCACAAAATACGTTTTTCAAATATCCGTGCCGACAAGGAAAAAAATACCCAATCCACTCATAAAGTTATTTTAATGTATGAAGCAGGCAAAGTAGGGCTTTTAACACATTTGTATTTACCATAACGTGACTTCTGCTGATGTTACTTGCTGGAAGAGATTGTAACCACTATGGCTTCTATAAAAATCCTGAAAAGGATGGTACCAATTTTGAGCGTCATCTCAAATCTATTAATCAATTATCTTAAAGTATTGTTATCATATCATTGTCTTTGTGGGTTTATAGAATTGTTTGATACGAATTTTTGATGAAGTTTGAACGTTTGTTCTACAAATTGAACTTGTGCTATTGAAGTTTCTCATTCAAACAGTGTGTTGATGAAAATTTCTACCAAGCTTTCCGATAACATTAGAAGCCTCAGTGGTAGTTGTCGAAACGAATGCCAAACTGTCCTGGATGCTATGACTTTAGAATCATAAATTGATGAGTGCTGAATAGCTAGATTCAGCGAGTACAGCAAGTTCTCTTATCCAGGATGTTTTGATTATTTCGCAGAAAAGGTTTATAAAGTCATTAGGGATGAAGGATGAAGGTCTCGGCGTTAATCAATCCCTGAAGGATGCGCCATGCATTCGCCTTCAATTATTAACTCCTGTTGAGGTGATTGAATGCATATGTGGCCTTTGCAATGACTTGCTGTGGCCTACCGCTGAACCGAGTCAGTGCTACCTGTCCTGCCAGAGAAGTTTGGGACCAATATAGTATCAATTCAACGACTCCGGAGGGATGGATGGCCTGGTGGGCCATGAGCGCGAAATTGTACCACTGATCTCGTGTGCGACGCAGAGCTCCTCTAAGCATTGCGCCACATGCGCTCTCTGCAACGTTATTTCCAGAAAATAAGCACATCCTTGGAATCATTGGAACCACGATATCGATTGATTGCTAGTAGCCTGAAGAAAGAGCTCTCTTTCAAGAGTATTGAAGAGTGTTTTTCTCCTGCAGCGCTATCAAAATAGCTCCTCTAAGAAGCGGACATATTTTTGAGTACTTCAAATCTTGTGCTACCGAATGAGTACTAACACTCTAGGGAAGGAGTTCAGGAAAATATAGGCTAGATAAGAAAAAAGCACGTGGTTTTGTGAAACATGACTATATTTTGGATTTTACAGTGGCGTAAAAGGCTGTTTTGAAAATTACCTATGTGGAGCTCTAGCCAGAAATCTAAGCTTTCGCATGACGAATGAGATCGGTTTTTCATTTGTTCTTTTCTAATCAGAAAGAACCGACAACTCTTCTATGAATAGAATTTTAAGAGTATTCCACTTTTTTCCTAAAATCAAGAATGTAAGTCGTACGAGTCGTTCGTCGGTCCTCCTCGAAAAATCTGACGAACGCATTGGAATTGAGATATGTATGTTCATTCCCTACTTCGATTCCTATGAGTAGCATGTTGGAAATGAGGAAGAAAAAAAGAAGTTCGATGCTAATTCTAATTCTGCTATTATCAAATTCTATTTGGAAAAATTTGTTGAGAGCATACACGCTCTCAGAGAGAGGATCCTATTGCATGACATAATAGTGAACTTGTACAAAGAAGTACTGTCGGGAACGCCGCAAATACGCCCGTTTTAATGTCTGCCTTGCTGAACGGAGGCTGCTCTCTGCGGCAGCACGAGAGTGATAATGGAGGAGTTTTACTCGAATGGTCAAGTCCGGAAACTCGCATAGAAATTTAATATCCTCTTCGAAAAAACGTTCACAACTTTTTTGCCGAGCTAGCTCGGCTTTCATTATTGTTCTTGATTGCGATCTTTCGACGTGTAAAGTACTTCATTCAACTTCGCCAAGTACAACACTTCTATCTCACATTTTGTCATAGTCATAGCTAACATATATGTTGAAGAATGAGTGGTGGGGCAAATGTACCTCGGTGTGTAGTGATAGCACCGTCCCCGGTATGGATGAAACGCGGGTTCGAGTCCCGCCTGAGGTCGTTTTTTCTGCTCACAACTCAATTCTCTTAGGTGTATTGGAAACATCGTACCACTGCGAAAAGTGCAGTCAAAAGCATCAGAAATCATAAGTATCACATTTTATATTTGAACATTTAACATATGGCCGGAAATGTCATTAGTATTCGAAATCGTCACATATTCACATATTTAAAAGACGTTTTTCTATTCGAAACAACTTCGTTAGTAGTACTGACTACGCATAAGTTTCAATAAATAAGCTATTTACATTGTCGTTTTGGTAAATTGAGACCATGTGAGGAGCAACTTCTACAGTCATTCTCATATACAGCGACGGCTTTTCAGGAACGCTTCGTATTCCTGCTGGAAATTTTTCTTCTCTGCTGCGGTAGTTATCTGAAAGCAAATGTTTATTTTAGAACGATTTCTGCTTTTTTATGCTTACAAGCTGTTTTGGCTGCGCTCTGTCATATTACATAACACTTTATAAGAAGTGTTGCAGATTTGAACGCGTACCTGTTACCGAGTCTACAACTGACCGCGTCGAGATCTTCTTTTCTCATCGACTTACTCCGCGAACATCTTCGGCGTGTCCGATGGCAGCCTGATCGATCTTGTCGGTGCCTATTTGTGCATTTTGTTCCATTCCGAGCTAAAAAGACAAGCTTCTATTAGCTTAGTTTTGAAGAGGATTAGACTATATCCTTTTTAGCTACACGTAAGGTTTTCGAAGCACAGCATTAGGAAGACAGGGCACTCGGTGGTAGGACTGAAATTTTGCTTAACGTAGCAAACGAATAAAACGAGGGATCCGTGTTTTGAAGCTCTACAGCTACAGTATGCTCTACTGCGACTAGACAGAGGCCAACACAACTGCGCGAATTCGTGTCTTTCTAATTGCCCGAAATTGATCACAGAGACTGAACTGTTTCAATCTACACCGTAAAATATCCTGTTGAACCGTGGAATATTTCCATGTATAGTAGAACTCACTTTTTTACGGATGCATGTCGGCTGTAGGATCAGCGTGAACGGCGGTTACGCGATCAGCCTCAACGACGACCGGGTGATCGGCGTAAAAGTCGCCTCAACGTTCTTAACTAATGTCGCGAATTCCGCTTCTTCCAGTCGTCCTAGTCGGACCTCAACTCCACCGGATCCTTCTGCTGAGAGTGTTAATAAATGAACTACAACAAAATTTCTCATCTTTTATACCCCTTCTCATTTTATCAGGCAAAACAAAAACAAAACTCGTCAAAACACGGCTCAAACATGTTATCATGTTATCAGATTATCATTATTTGGAGTGAAGTCTATGTAAACGGTTGAAAGTAGGGTATGACTGATTCTATTAGCCGCAAGAACTCGACTATGGTCACTATAATGTCGAGGGATTTAGTCACCTGGCTTGCCGTGATTTATTGTTCGGCATCAATCTCTTCATATAGGGAGTATGTTCCAAAAATCTCGACTGAGCTACGGGACTCTGTGCTAGTGAGGAGTCTGGAATGACGAAACAGCCGCCTGTCTAGCAATGTATGAGTGCCTTATCATGCCCCATAGCAAACTCAAGCGTGTTATCATATTATAAAAATAAAACAATTATGGCTCCAGCTATCATTCTTTTTTATTAACCGCTTATAACGGGGTGTGATGTTACAAATGTAAAACCAGTGTTAATGAGGGATAAGCAGAGCTTCGAACGTTGAGCAGGATTCGAAGCGCTCTTCAGCCATTCCGAGGGCGTGCGATAACCACTGCACTAGCGACGTCCGTTGTGCCATCACTTTTTCCGAGACACAAAGAGTTGACGCTTGGTTGCTCACAAATTGATACAATTGTGTCGCAGAAAAAGTGAGGATGGGTGTTTTAATAAGAGCAAATCCGCCTGCTAACTATCATTAGTGTTTGGGAGACACACAGTTTAAAAAGAAGAAAAAAATAACAAAAATTGGGTCGGTAAACTCCTTGGCATATTGAGTAACATTGTGTGTTTCTCAGAAACTTACTGAGATTCTATCCACTATTTTTTATTCAATATGAGTCACTACTTCACACATTTATTTGACATGTTGAAGGCGAAGGTGTTTCTTTAACGGCACAGAATAATTTCCTGTGAAATGTATTAACCCAGACATTGAGATGACTCGCCTTTGCAAGTCATGATGCTCCAAGCACTTGCTCAGTTTGTTTGCATCTATCGTGACGTTTTCTATGATGGAGACTAGGAACTCACGCTTTTTTATTTGCGGCTTGAGGGGTTGACAATCGGTTGTGATTTTGACAAGCATCTTGTTGGCGCCATTATTCTAATTCTTGATAGCTACTCCTGAGTACTGTATGAGATGGGAATATATAAAACTGAATGAAAAACAACGTAATTTCACCTTTTTGGGAGTAAACACCTTATTGAACTTAAATAACGAGTAACTTTTTGCATACAATGATTGCGTTTCGGCTGTAAATTGCATTCTGACTCCACTGATGCGCCGTCTTGCCGGTATTCGGCGAAGAATACACAAATCGGTTGATTATGTCGAGAACGACCAGCACTAAACGCTTTACTCTCTCTCTTGGCATATAGTGAAAGGCGTTATATTTTGCTATGATGAATCATTACTGAAAGCTTCTGACACTGTACAGAGGGAGGAAAATGCTGTCATGGTTTTGTATTTTCGCAATTTGACACCGATATATTTTTTGCTAATGCTGTAATTTTATTTAACTCTTTGTTCAATTCTGATCTGGAATCTGTTTTATTTACTTGTCTATTCTAAACTATGCTCAAGTCATGGGTCGAGAGAATCACAGTATTGCAATGAATGAGTTGCACAGGACGAGAATGAGAACGCCTTTCATTGTAAAATAACTGGTTCCAAACAAACATATGTCTAAGAGGTCGTGAAGCATTTCAAAGAGACTGGAGGGATTGAGGACCACCCTCCAAAATGTTCGGAAAATCCGTTGTCAGATCGAATAAAATCCGGAACGTTCGATGTGCAAAATGCAAAAGAACCTTTGAATCAAGCGGTTGCAGCCCACAAAAATTCCACAAACCAGGAATTTAGATAGAAAATATCGTTCTTTCCACTACTGAGTGCGCTCAAGTTATAAGCAGTCAGTCAAAAGTAAAGTTAATTTTTGAATTGGTGCGAATACGACTCTTAATATGATAGCTTGAACGTAATAACATTTGTTGTTTATAGCAAAGCGTTGAAGTAAGAAATAACTCTAAACTCAACTGAGAAAATAAAAGGAGCAGATTTCACAATAGAAATTCAAACGTCCACCACTGTCGACGAAAAATCGAAATGAACCCTTAGTTTTCTTAGAATTAGATTAGGAGAAGCATATTTTTCACTAACCAGTCGAAAAAGATTCAAAACAAGTATGATTGGATTGAACCTCCTTTCAGAGATGAAGTTGGCCAATGGGCGTAAAGTAAAGTTCATCGCAGCAGAAGCTCTAAAGCTGTAAAGGTCTATAGCTTTTACTATCATGTCTACTAATACTGGCAGCCTAGTGGCGATTCAAAGCTCCAACTCGCGCGGGATGCTAGAGATACTCTTGCCCTCCTTCGGCGTAATCGAAGGCGTAGCCGCAGATCCAAGGCTCGCTGTAAGCCCATTTTGAAGAAGGCGACAGCTTCTTCCCCCTCACCATCACCCTGCAGAAGCAGTTGAAGGAAAACGCAAAAGCGGTGAGAATTTTACTTGTAAACTGTTTGAGCCTTTCACGACCAATCAGTCACAGCGTTGCACCTCATTCCAGTGAAATCGGGATTGACTTAGTAGTCAGTAATAAGTTTTGATGTGGAGATCTAATTTACAGGAATTCCCGTTCTATTCTCCCATTCACATGATAGAGAAAGAGCTCAGCAGGCTTTAAAATAACGGTTCCAGAAAAGCAGTTCAAGTGGCCGTGCGTACAAAAAAATGGTGCACAATTATGGGAAAGTCAAGTCGCTAAAAATTGGTCAACAAACCCAAAATTTATAGATAACAACGGTGCTTTTTAATAGGAATACTTTTATTCCATTGATTTACTAAAAACCATAAGATCAACAGTTTTTATAACCTCGTGATAAATATTCAAACTAATTCCAAAAAAAATGTTCCAAGCCTAATTTTTTTGGAATGACTATGAATATCTATCAAGAGGTTTTAAAAACAGTCGATCTTGTGGATTAACTTTGGTCTACCAGCCGAAATCCATCGACTGAACAGTGGTGATGAACCAGTGTCATTGTACACTATGCCATCACCACATAAGCCTCCCTCCTTGCTACAATGCAGGGCTTAATGTGGGGCGGGGGTTACTGATGAGGAGGCCGAAACCTCCGAAACACCGGTGTATGGCTCTGGCGTACCAACCTCGTTTAGGCTTGAAACGTTCTTTTTTGGAATTACTAAAAACCGTTCTTTCTCTCAAGAAACCTGTCTTTTGACTTTTTCTTACTGCATTAAGGGAGTTGTCAGATTTTTCGGACCATATTATTCATTGTTTTAGGCACAACACATGGTCGGACTTTTTCAATGGAATTGGTCTAATTGCGGGTGTACTATAAACGATGACGTTAGCGGTTTTCCATGTGCTGCCTGATCGGAAGGTATAGGATCCACAGGAACCATTTTAGGGGAATCAAACATGCTTTACAGACGACTGGAACGTAGTAAGATTGAAGAAACAAAAAGGCGCACACTAAAGTGTACTAATGAGGGATTTGTTAATGAGTAAAAGTTCCGTTTATAATTTGTCAGAAACTCGCTTCCCACCCGAAAACGGTTAAAAACAATTGTCGCAAAAACAGTGTGGAATATGGAGAACCACATGGATAGATGACATGAACCATTTTTATCAAGAACACGTTTATAATCCTATTGGTGCATTACTCTTACCGAGAGCCAAACAGTTCACTGAATTTGTGTTCCAAAAGCTCAAATTCAAAGAAATCGAATCATATTAGTGCTATTTGAAGATTGGAGTGTTCCTAACCTAGCCCACTAATCTGGATCTATCA